TGAGGATATGACTGACCGTGCTAGGAGTTAGGACCAGTGCTAACCCACAGTCTCATTTAGAGGTTGTGTTAGCTATCATTGATCATGAATCATTAAGCAGGCGTCAGAAATTAGTCCCAAGTGTAGTTTGCTTTGTCTTTTCATCTTTCAACCTTGTATAAATCTTGGCAGCCTCCTGTTCCTACGGGAAGCGCTGCCGAAATTTCTGGAAATCTGAAGGAGTTAGTTATTTTTGGACTCATAAAATTTTTGAAAAGACACTTTCCCTACGGCAAGCGCTGCCGAAATTTTGTAGAATTTGGGGAGTTAAAATATTTGTCAACCAGGAATTACTTAGCAGATCTATCCTGATTAGAGAAGGTGTTCGGTGACGTGGTACTACTAGAGGAGCTAGGACACGACTAGGGGAAATGTTCTCTCCTTGACACAGGCATAAGTAGTACTTTCCTTTGGCCTGTACTGTAATGTAGGTCTCTGTGCTGTCACTTGAAGGCTTGAGTTGTTTAGCCTATCCCTTCAGAAGGATCGTTCTTCTGTTATCATTGATAACAGGTTGATTGTCGATTCGTCGGTTTACGACTCAACCCCAATTCACCCTCAATACTCAACCTCAAAAGGCTTAAGCCCTGGTAATTTTATTGTTTTGTTGAGGTTTCACCCAGACTTTTATTGAATGGTCATTTAACAAAGGTACTGAGTATTTAATTATGGTTGGTTGGCTGGAGGTTGGGGCTTGCATGGCTAAAGCAAGGGGTATGAGTGTAGAGGTTGATTGGAGTTGACTCCGTGAAGTGCGTGGATTCTTGCTCGATTATGTGGTGTGATTGCAGGTATGTATGGAAGAGTCTTATCTGATTCCTGTTGAGTGATGTTGCGTTGGATTCAGATGGGTAAACCACACAACTGTCGTGAGAGAAAACTACCCCACAACCTTTGTGTTTGAATGAGACTGTTCTGTACCTGTCCTGTTGAAATAAGCGTACGTTCGAGTAACCCCCACATGGCTAATCCCGACGGTGTCCTTTCTGTTGATGTTGAGAGCAGTTGTGTTTCATCCTTGTTGGAAATTATTTTGGTGGAACGATAAAGTTCCGGGCGGAAAGGATAACGTGTCGCTGGTGGTGCGCCAGACAACTCACCACCGCACCAAATTCCTTCCTACCCTAGGGGCCGTCTTACCCCGCACCCGTTGGGACACCTCAGGGTGCAAAAGATGGAAAGACCCTCAGGCCGGTTTTGCGCCCGCTGTTCCGAAGAGGCCATTTGGGTATGAGCACCACATAACGCGCCGTCATCGCGGGTACTCGCGTAGAGCTGCATGGCAAATTGGTATAGGTAGGTTCTGCATTCGCGCGATCTTAAACTAAATCCGCGCGCACAGCACTTACCGATTCTCGCCCTAAGGTTATGGGTCGGGCGGCGAGAACCAAGGCGCGTCATGACTAATAGATTCGGGTTTTTCGGTATCGCGAGGTGACGCATGGGCGAACTACCAGTCCCAGCCGACCCATGGGAATCCGTGTACGGGTCTTCATTACCCCGGACATCGGGTAGCCTATGGGTCTGATTTTTGGGTCTCCTCCATGCGCGCGTCGTTTGCATCCGCCTACCCCTTTTATTGGATGAGGCCACGAAACTAATGAGAGTGGAGTGACTTTTTCTTTTTGAATTTTCATGGTTGGACGTTGTAGACCGTGGCAGCCGTCAAAGTCAAACCCCTTGATATTTGACCGCCACGATGGCTTAAAGCTGTCTACGCAACCCCTCTGCAGAGGATGCAGAAGAGGGTGTGGTCTTCAACCGCACATGGCGGTTGTCCGACGTCAAGAGATTACCCCTGAAAGCTCATGTCAACAGACACTTGAGTGTCGAACGCGACCCTCGAGGTTATCAAGGGCCGTGAAGATACGAGTACCATATAGTACTCCATCAGCGTGAATGCTTGCGTATGTTTGCATGGCCGATTGTCATGAGGCCATTCGCTCGCCCAACTCTTATACGGAAGTTCAGCGCGCGATACCTATGTAAGTCTTGCCGTATAAAAATATGGGTCAGATACTAAAGGGACTAGAAGTTGTTGTGTCGTGGCATTGTTTGTGGTGTTTGTTTGTGTGTGTTCCATATGTTATAAATGGTAGGTGTGAGTGTTGTAGTGTAATGCGTGGTGCGAGTAGCGCGTCCTAGTCGACCGGCGTCGAGTCGCGTTTGGGACTTCAGCCCCCCAGTACGGCGATTCGTATACGGGTTTGATTTTTGGGTGTTCGACCACGCGTAACCCCCTATGCTACAGCGAACGAGAAACGCCCTCGGCTGGGCCACCTCTACAATTGCACGTAGGCACGTCACGCCGGACAGCCTACCAAAAGAATGTCGAACAATCGTGGAATGTGCAATCAGCTGCCGAGACGCCGCGAAGTCCGACTGTTTGAATTGCAGGTGAACTGCCCTCCGTAGGCCATCTCCAACGACAAGGCACCGCACAATCCAACACAGCCCGCCGCACCCGCCCAAGAGATTGGCTGCGAACAGCACCCGCCCACACCACACCCAGAGATCGCAAGTTAACCACACTAC